ATTAGATTGAGAGTCAGTGATCTCCACTGAGATTTTTTTTAAAAAAATTCCATATCATGATTTTGATTCTATGACCATGAATAGATTGAGCGCTAAATGAATTTAAGAAACGTGCTGGCAGATATGAAAAATATAATACACCAATTACTAGAGCTAAGATGGCAGTCAAAGCACCTTGGAATTTAACGGATTCAGAACAAAGATGGTTTTTTTGGTGCTCTAATACTAGCAAAAAGAATAATCCTCAGGAGATGGAAAAATACTGTAATTCCAGATGTAAAGGACTGGATTTCAGAGTTGTGGGACTTGGCAATATTTGAAATAATTACACATTGGGTTAATCAGAAAATGTCACACCATCTTTCCCTTTGGAAAAAATTCTTGGACAGGCTTGGTCAGAATTGAAAGTTTATTTTTTTAAAGACTTTTAAGATCAGGAGAACTGGGGATATAGTTGTGTTCATAGTTCTTGTTATATATATGTATGTATATATGTGTGTATGTTTGTTCTTTTTATGTATTTTTTGTTGTACAGTGTTTTTCTTCATCTGAGTATTAATTGTTCATTTTTATTTCATTTCACATTATTTTACATTTCTGTGTTTGAAAAGGAGTACATTAAAAAAAAAGAGAGAGACAGAGCCCTGCCACTATTCTATTCACATATTGTTCCTGGCATTAATTGCAGGGCCCATTAAGTGCCTGGCCTTTTGGTAGCAAATTAGGGGACCAAATTAGAGAAGATATGATATATTCCCTTTTAAACTGTATTAACAGTAACCACTTGGGGGGGGGGTGCAGGAAGAGGTGAGCAAGCCTCAAAAATCTAACCCTTTCTCCCAAGGCCCCGATGAATACAAATAGCAATTTATCGGGGCCAGATAGAAGAGTTTCATTCCTTCCTGCTAAGCATGCAACACTGCATTTCACTTCTAAAAAAAACAACAATGGTGCATTGTTAAAGCGTACGATTAGCATTGTATACAGTTTGTGCTGTTTCAGCATTTATTCATTCAATTTATATTCTTTCCACGTTGTTCATAGCCTGGGTTCCAGGAGAAAACCATCTGATGCTATTTGTAACATTGCGCAATTCAAAATTAAAGACTTGCGGAGAAGCAAACTGCTGAATATTGTAAACCAACAGCTTAAAAAAAAACAGCAGCAGCAGCATATCTAGAAGATGGATTGTTCTTTGGCCAAGAAACCGAAGACTTAGGTAGGCTGTAAAAGTTGTCTAATTGTAGCCAATTGCCGATGGAGGGCAGACCTAGCACACTTCTGTAGACTTGATGACCAGCAGCCTGCCTGGGTGAAGACTGGTCCCTCTGAACAATGGAGACCTTTCCTTCACAAAACCTCACGAGATGCTTCCAACATCCCACCGAGCAAGGAATTTGACGGCTAGGAAGATTCCCAGAAACAAAAGCCCTATTTTAGCAGCTTTAGTGGTAGCTATTAAAAGATCTGCAAAGTATCCTTTATACCAGTGTTTCTCAACCTCGGCCGCTTTAAAAGGCCTGGACTTCAACTCCCAGAATTCCCTATGCTGG